AGTCTGGGTGGTACTATCGATGACTGCTCTGCTAACATGGGAGAAAAGGAAGCTGTGCGATGACGTATGGCTTAATATGGAGAAGATGTGTGATTTGGCACGATACGACACTGCAAGCCTGGTGACCAACTCTGAGATAACGAGCCTGTCAACGGGAAGCTTCACCTCTTTTTTGCCCGACGGGGATGGGGCCTGTTAATGAAGCAAAGTATTATGTTAAGGTTGCTTCCGTACAAATGTGTATGAGGAAACCAACTAAAGAAAAATCAAAGTTTCTGAAAGATTGCAGGCGAGGGTCGCGGGAAAAAACAAGATCAACGCTCGTGCCGGATTATTCGCAGTATTGACAGAAGAGTTCGCATGCAACCCCCGATAGTCCTGTAATGGTTCGGTATAATGACTAGAATAGTATTGATTCTTCGAGCGGGGCGGCTTTCTGACAGTCGTAACGGTTGTTTGTGGAGCTCATGGGATATGGGATGACGGGCAGCCCAGTATCGAATAGTAGTTCAGAGTAGGCCGTCCGGGCGTGGGTGCTTTGTGGCATGCCTGGATCATTGCGTCTTGCGAACTGGTCCACCTGCCGTCTTGGCACACTAACCGGATCGGTTATCCCCGGGCTGGATCTCACCAAGCAGGGCCATCGCATTATCACGCTTTTGCACAGATTCGATGCACACGCTGTCTTGTCAGGCTACTCGGTGAGATACGCAAGTCGCCGGCGCGTTATTCTGCGACCTCGAGCCCACCCTTGCCGGCTTCCCAACACGCCACGCTGTCTACATGGCGCCAATCGACACTCCACGACCACGCGTGAGAAGTACACGACCACACCGGCGATACATATCCGACTCGGCTCCTGTCAACAAGCGGCGCAAGTACATACCAGGCGGTAGAGGGGGCGGTGGACAATACGTCGACTTTGAAGGGCCAGAAACACCCGGGTATAGCTACACGGGCGCCCGCAGTCGCGCAGGGAGACAAGACCTTTCCATACCAGCGCCATCACCTTCATACTCTCGACCCCGACGCGAACGGCCGTCAGCTGGACCTCGTTCCAGTTCGGCTGCTGCAGTCGCCGCCGCCGTGGCTCAGAACGATGGATTCAAGCCGCGTGAAGAGAGATCTTGGGATGAATTTCACCCGGATCTCGACATAGATGCGGAATTCCCCGTCTATAGCGCAGACCAGATTGATGGCATCAGTCCTGCAGAGAGTGCCTCCGGCACTCCACAGGACGTCTCATCTAGTGGCCAATATGCGATTGATACAGGTCTTTCCGCCGTCCTCGATGGCATGCGGGCACAGCAGGTGGAGACTGCAGAGCAAGAAGACGCGAGTGCATTTGTGACGCCAAAGCGACGCCCCGGACGGCCTCCGCGCGACAGGCACTCTATGCTCGCCGGATTGGGCTCCCCTCCTCGACCGCGCATCAATCCGCTTCCGACAATGAACCCCCGCGAGAAACTGAATTTGCCCAAGCCGTCAGTGCGCCAAGTAGACCCTTTCAAAGAGCACGAGGAAAGTGAAGGAGTCAAAGTCAATTATGTGGACAAGACCATGGCAAACATTGGCTATCAGGAGAGTGAGGTCTTTGCAAGAAGTTCGGAGAATAGCCTGATCAGACTTCCCGAAGGCTCAATCGAGGAAGATCTCGATCTCACGTTGCAGACAGAGGCCGAAGGAACTACAGGCGCAGTTGCCATAGGCCGCGTGGAGTACGACATGGACGAACAGGATGAACGATGGCTGGAAGCGCTCAATGTGCAGAGAAAAGAAGAAGGCGTTGAAGGTATCAAACCAGCGATCTTCGAGGTCACCATTACTCAGATTGAGAAGGAATGGCATGCGTTAGAGAAGCGTAAGTTGGGCCGAGGTTGATTCATGTCCATAGTGCGCTAGCTGACGTGTAAAAGGCATACCTAAACCAAACCCCAAGCCGCCACAGACACATCGCCCACGATCTAGCAGTGCGGCCGCTGTCAATGGTGAGCCCGCTGGACAAGGCGAAGAACAGGACACAAAATGTGCTATCTGCGATGATGGCGATTGCGAGAACACCAATGCTATAGTATTCTGCGATGGCTGCGATCTAGCTGTGCATCAAGAATGTTACGGTGTGCCCTTTATTCCAGAAGGCCAGTGGCTATGCAGACGGTGCCAGCTAGTAGGACGTGGTACGCCTGCTAGTGAGCTTCCGGTACGTCGCATCAATATACACTCTCCTATCCTTATACTGATCATTACAGGGCTGCATTTTCTGTCCAAATGTAGACGGTGCATTCAAACAGACCACGACCATGAAGTGGGCACATTTGTTGTGCGCCATGTGGATTCCAGAGGTATCACTTGGTAATGCAACTTTCCAAGAACCAGTGCAAGATGTTGAAAAGGTGCCCAAAACACGCTGGAAGCTGGTAAGATGACGATACCATGTTTGCCTCTACATCAGACTGACTAACAATACAGTCATGCTACATCTGCAAACAGAAGATGGGCGCTTGTATTCAGTGCGGACACAAATCATGTTTTGAAGCTTTCCACGTGACATGTGCGCGCAGAGCCAGACTGTGTCTACGAATGAAAGCCTCGCAATCGGCAAATTCACAGGATGCGACTGTGCTCAAAGCCTATTGCGATCGTCACACTCCATCTGACTGGAAGCGGGAATATGATGTTGAGAGCGCGATTGCAGATGCAAAGGCCTTTTACCGCCATACAATGCGTCATGTCCGATGGCCAGACAGTCAAGCCTACGCCCTTTCTATCGGCTCATCGCATGCAATGCCTTCCATTGAGGGACCAGATGACGATGGCACAGGCTCCAACAAGCGTAAACGTGCATCAGGCACAAAGTCCTGGAGACTTCCCTCTGGAGCCCCTGTTGTTCCCCAGGCTGTATACCACAACGTCGAAAATACGCTGATAAGATTCAACGTTCGCAAGCGCAAGGAGTTTGTGCAGGACGCTTGCAAATACTGGACATTGAAGAGGGAGGCACGACGTGGTGCTGCTCTCCTCAAGCGTCTTCAGCTCCAAATGGAAGCCTTCTCATCCATGGAGATTACCCGTCGTAACTTTGCAGGCATGGGCGCAGCCGGCCGACCTCGACTTCAGCGACGCATTGAATTTGCAGAACGCCTTGAAGATGACATGGAACAGATTCGTGTACTTTGCGAAATGGTCAAACAGCGAGAGGCTGAAAAGCTCAAAGATGTCCTCATATTGCAGCAGATTGTGGACTGCATTTACTTTCCCATCCCGACACTACTACAGCCCATTTTGGCTCGAGCACAAGCGTAAGCAGCCCACCATGCACACTTAATTGATCTTCTACTAACCTTGTATCAGACTCGATAGTCGAGGCTACTTCAACGACGGATTCAATCGTCTTCAAACCAAACTTGACGAAAAGTTCTACACATCCGTCCAGGCGTTCAACGACGATATGGCAGCAGTCTTGAGTGCTGAACTTGGGTTTGCTGCTGTTACCAACATCAATGATGCTGAACAACAACTAAACCAGGTTTCTCACAACAGTCTGACATCTGAGCAGAAAGAGATGAAGAAAATCGTCAAGCGAATCACCAAAGTTTTGCAACCTAGCTTTGAAGATGCATTGCGAAAAGAATCCGAGTTAGCTGGAAGGCCGTATGAAAAACTACCCGACCTCGAGACGCTTCTCAACCAGAAGCTTCAACGCAGACCCAGTATTCTCTCACACGACGAAAACATTCGACAAACCACTGAGATGGATCAGCCAAGCATTGCACACGCTCAAGAAGATGCTATCGACGGAGAAGAGGCTGCTGTAATAGCGCAGAAGCCCGAGGACATGCAAATGGCGCCCACACCTGACGAGAACGCTGCTGATGCCGATCGGATACATGATGAAGCGGCTGACGAGGCAGCAATTGCTCTACAGCTTGGCCAAGATACACTACACGTGTCAAGGAATCAGTCTCGAAGCGATGCTCTCGCAGAAAACCATGCTCATGTCAACGGCCGCCCAGAGCCTTTGACTCCTCCGAGGTCTGAGAAGAACCTGCTCAACCCACTGGGTAACGGCGGCGTGCCCTGGTACCTTGAGACTTTCGACGTGCACGGCACTACCGTGTATGAGGAAAGATACACGGGCCGTGAGGTGCTTCGAGACATGAGCGAGGAATTGAGCGAGCTCGACGACGATGAATTGGATGGCCTTGCTGACTCGGATCCTGTTAGGCCTGTAGACACGTCTGATGCAAACGTGGCGGCGATCAAGAAAGCAGTGGCACGCAAACGGCAGAAGCGATCTCGGGGCTGGTAGGTAAGTGTACTGAATATTGCATTCTTTGTTTTCTTTTTACTTTTCTTGCGCATGGGCCACTCATGTCGCATCTTGTATTATCTTTGGCATTTGTAATATACCTTCTTGGGGGGGGCTGGAAGGTGTACTGCAGGCGTACGGCGTGTGGCGTAGATTTCACAGCGGGGACTGGTCAGCGCATATCCATGTGTTGTTTCGGGCAGGGTATGTTGATATGGCGCAAGTGGTGGGCTGCTGGCTGCACGGGATCCCATAGGCAAGGGCAACGAAGTGTCGGATGCAAGACGCCTGAATATGAATTTGAGTTGACGATTCCAATTGCCGGTCATGCCCCGTCTGGGTAAAGACGTTGGGAGCAGATGTGGATGAGGAGCCGAGCCTCACGGGCCGGCTAGCAGAGTTGCTGTGTGGCCGGTGCCCCTAGCGGTTGCCTCACTCAGCTGCCTGGTGCTCTGTCGTTTTCATGCCTCGTACAAATAGCAGCCAGTCTCGCTTTGTGCCTCGACTCCCCTTCACCTCCTCTTCCACTTTTACTCCACTTCAGTGCAGCACCGGTCATTTTAGCGCGACGCTTACTAAGTGAGACGCGGCTACGGTCGATCAGCCCTGCCAAAAAAACCGCCTAAACTCCAGCTTCAGCAAACACCTTTCCTCAACCAACAAACTCCTGACCCACCACGATATCATCACCATGGAGTACGAGAACGAACAGCGCCCCTACGACGGTGTGTTTGTCTGCCTGTGCCTTGTTTGCTGTATACTGACTGCATCCCAGACGAGCCTCGCGGCTACGAACGCGACCGCAGCCGGTCTCCGCGTGCTGACCGTCGCGATGAGGGAGCGCGTCCTCGCAGCGCCTCTCCAGGTGGTCGCGATAGCCGGTGAGTTCCTGCCCTTGCTACTGTCTACTCTTGATGGCACAGTTTGCTAATGTCGATGCAGTGGTCCGCCCCCGGAGCGCAGGAACGATGACGACGAGAGCCGCAACTCGGGCTCCAACCTCTTCGTCACCGGTATTCACCCTACTCTCACTGAAGACGAAGTCACGCGTCTCTTCGAGAAGTACGGTGATGTCGAGCAGTGCAACATCATGCGCGACCCCCACACTAAGGAGTCTCGCGGCTTCGGCTTCGTCAAGATGGTTACTGCTGAGCAGGCCGATAATGCTAAGGAGGGACTGCAAGGAGAAGTTCACCAAGGCCGGACATTGAGCATCGAGAAGGCTCGCCGTGCACGCCCTCGCACACCTACCCCGGGCAAATACTACGGTCCTCCCAAGCGCGGTAAGTGCGCCTGTTGTTTACATGGCTGGTGATGGGGCTGACAATATATTAGAGTTCGGCGGGCGCGGCCGGGGCGGTCCTCGCTACGGTGGCGATCGCGACTCGTACGACCGTCGCGGCGGTGGATACGGCAGACGCGATGACTATGGCTCTCGCAGCTCGCGATACGATGATCGTGGCTATGGAGCTGGCCGCCGTGATGACTATCCCCGGGGTGTTGACCGCTATGCTTCGGAGCGCAGGTACGACCGTCGTGGTGGCGGCAGTGACTACTATGACAGGCCTCCTCCGCCAGCTGCCGGTGCCTACGATGCCGCTCCTCCCCGTGACGCGTACGGTGGTGGAGGTGGAAGTGGAGGTCGCTCGTACAACGAGGGTGATTACGATCGCTCATACCGCTAGCTCCCCCAGCTGACCCAGGCAGAACCCAAGCGGTACTAAGTTAGGGTTCGTATGGCTTCCTCGATTTGGCGCCTTTTCCAGCACTTCACTTCTGTAATCCTATGACTACTTCACTGGGGTTCAGTTTAATACGGCTTTTACACAAAGGGCATGTGGTCGACAAAAGTTCATCGATATGGTTCACGGCAGCGCAGGTAGCACTCTACCGTGGTCTGCCTTCTTGCAGCTCGACATGATATTATCCTTCGTCAGCTCGGTAATTTCCTTGGAAAATCGGTTCAGCACTTCGCTAAATGCTTTCGGGGCATCGTCTATAGCCCTTGGGACCATCAATCATCTTGATCGACACCAAATTGTACTTCTATCTACTGTCCTTCGATGCAACCTGGACATCCAGTAGCCAGTCCACACCACCTTTCCGCATGACCAGCACTGTCTAAATACTTTCACTATCATCCACCATAACCGCCATCATGTCAGCGCAGCCCCTCCCGACCCAGTAGCATAATTGGGCCTAAAAGTTTCGCCGTCGAATATTCACAGCCTTTCGCATTGTAGACTGGCACGACGATGACTGTAGATGCATCGCTGCCACCGCCCGCCCACGTGCTTTGTCTGACGCATGTCGGAATGCCAAGACTAGCCGTTTGGCCGAGTCGTGCATAGATATCAAAGTCTGTGATTATAGCCTGTAGCTAAGCTGTTTGCTCGATGCAAATGGTCATAATATGTGCGGGCTTAAGGTACATACAGTGCAAGGTGCGTGGCCCCTCCCCGAATTTTATTCACTTTCACTTCCCTCTTTGCTCATGCGTGGTTTGCTCATCACCGCACTTCCCTTCGACTGTGCACTGAGTGCAAAGTCTGAGAATATGTCCGTTCACTCAACCCTTCCTACCAACTATCTTTGCAACCTATCGCCTCAAAAGACTCTAATCAGATGTCGCCGTCTCAAGAATGGAGCGCGCACACATGGCTGCTGGTGCTGTCGCAGCTGAGATTGCTTGCATGTAGGTGTGCATATGCTTGACAATGATTGCACTTATATTCCTGGATCTGCGATAGTACGCAACTCACCAGTTGATCAGCTAAGCTTATAAAATTACGCAATGTCGTAGTTTAGATCATGCTCTGAGCCGCCTAGGGTACACAGACAGTGATCCGTCTCAGCAGGTAGAAAATTGAAATCTGTGCTACAATCCGATCAGCCTTTACACGGTGACTTTTGCCACATTGTATTACTAGCGTTTGCGTCAGTAGCGATTGTGGCGCTTTTCAAGCTAATGGAAGCGTTGGAGTACTTATTCTTGGGGATCGACCCGCTCGACGCCATTCTGATTCGGCTCCCGTGCAGGGGTCCCTGTGAGTGGGTCATTTGGGGGGTTAACTTAAAACGACACAAGCCTGCATCGACAGGTAACCAGCCTGACGGCGGCGACACATTAGGGGAGTACGCGGTCACATCAATGGCATCCTGTATTCCCTCTCTTCTCAACCCTCTCTTGGGCGTTTTTAGCAGCCGCGTTACCTGCACCTATTCGCAAAGGGACGCGGCAGTAACTCGGCATTGATCTTGCCGCGCGGACACCTCCACATCGTGGTTAGCTTTCATAGTAAGGATACACCCACTCCGTCCGACCGACGTAAGCGTGAGTTGACCTTCTTCTTGCAGTGGACTCTCGCAGGGCTCTCACACAGCCCACGTCTCCATTTCTACCCTCTCAGCTTTCTCGGTTTCCCAGTCGCTCTCTCCACCTCCCTCCTTGCGCGCCATGACCAGACGAAACGTCATTCCGCTCCTTGCTGTGCTCGTCGTCCTTTCCATAACTGCATTCTTTTACTCCGACATACGCACCAGTGAGACGTGGAGGAGTTTGCCTCAGCATGTGGGCTTGGGCGAACACATTGGCAGCAATGCGCAACCGCATAGCGCGGACCCATCGGGCGACCCTGACTACACGAATTGGAATCCAAAACCAGTGTTCAAACCAGGCTCACCGATGCCCCCGGCGCATAATTTCACATCGACACTGATAATTGCAAAGACAAAGAAAGAGGATATCAGTTGGGTACTGGAAAAGTTGCCGGAGCAAGACAGAGCCGTCTACGTCGCAGACGATCCAACTGCGCCGTTACATCCCCCAAAGAACAAGGGCCACGAAGTCATGATCTATCTATCGTGGATTATTGACAACTACGATAACCTTCCTGACGTCGCCATCTTCATGCATGCGCATCAATTATCATGGCACAATGACATACTCCTGGGTAGCGACGCACACGAAATGATCGCTCGTCTGAGTCGGCCACGCGTTTGGAGAGAAGGTTTTGTGAACATGAAGTGCACTTGGGCCCCGGGCTGTCCGGAATGGATGCACCCAGGTGTGATGGATCAAGACAAGAACAAACCAGAAGAGGTTCTCCTTGCAAAGTCCTGGAGCGAGCTTTTTCCCCTTGACGCAATCCCTAGTGTGCTGGCGCAGCCTTGTTGCGCCCAATTTGCTCTCTCACGAGAACGGATACAGGCAAAGCCCTTGGCGCAGTACGTCTGGTACCGTGACTGGGTATTCAACACACAATTGACCGACTCCTTGAGCGGGCGCATCTTTGAATACATCTGGCAGTTCATCTTCACAGGTCAAAACATTTTGTGTCCAAAAGAACATGTCTGTTTCTGCGATCAGTACGGCGTTTGTTTTGGTGGTGAAGAAGAATACGACAACTTCAAGGCTCTTGCGGCCGAGTTGGGCGATAACCAAGGGAAGCTCATGGACTGGTATCAGAGGACAGCGTATATCGCAGAAGCGAAGAAAGAAGGCAATATGCAACTGCTAAAGGAAATCGAGACGCCTGAGCCAGGCAAGGACGAGGAGTATAGGAGAGAGATTGACCGCTTGAAACCGGTGGTCGATCAGTTAAGACATGACGCCTATATTCGAGGCGAGGACCCGCAAAATCGCGCGTTGGAGGTGGGAAGGGAGTGGAAGGAGGGCGATGGTTTCTGAAGCAAATTCTTTTTTTTTCTCAGCTATTTCGATATCAGGAACATTGCGAGTAGAATATATAGACATGGTGTATTCAAATCAACAGTAGTATTTCAATCTTCTATGGACTGCTTGTCGTGGTCGATTGCTGTAGAGCAAGAACACAGGTTGTGACTGCAATTTAACCACGATAAAATCATTAAGCATAAACACCCCTCTTCTAGTTTTTGCTAGAATTCATTCCGACGATTGAATACTAGAACTGTATCTTTTCTGGAAAGAAACAGACGATTGGGTCTACTCACTTGTGGCTTATCTAATCGACCGTCACATGTTCGCGCGGTATTTGTGCAAACAACACAAACCCACTTCGCCGCGTCGCCGCGACTTTCGCCTTTCTGGCTGGCCCTGTTTGTTCCTTACAGACAACAGCAAGCGCCAGCAACCCACATCAGGTGCGCAATAATTGTCTGCTGCCCCAATCCGTCCGCCACTTTTCTGTGTTGAATCCAAACCACGCGCCCAAAGTGCGCTTCTCGCTGCCAACTGCGTCCCCAACATGACCCCAAACTACACTTTTCGCTGCGACCCAAACTATGCATTGCTCCTCCTTCGACACACAAACCATGTCTCGGTCAAGCCAATTGTCTACATGAGTGTCAAGCCAAGTACATGGCAGCTTGAATACAAGAGAGCTTCGATTTCCATGTATAACCGAGTCGTTGTACTCTCCTAGTTCAGCTCGCATTCGCAGCCATTTCCGCTTCAAATATCTGATCCAAACACTTACCATTGTGCATTGACAGCTCACTCGTACAACCGCGGGATCCGTCTGATGTTGGGGCAGGCAACCACGATGACGACAAACGCACCCTACTACCAAATGCGTTCCGGCCAGTTCATTACCACGTCCAACAGCACAAACGCTGCACCGCCCCAATTCGTAGCCGGAGACGAAGAATATGATTTGGCTGGTCCTGCTGCTGTTACAGCGCCGCTCGATCATCATCTCAGCCCGCATTTGTATGTCGAACACACTGCGCAACAGACGTCTGCCGACCATACACTGGAAGAGAACCACAATCTCGCAGAGTTGCTGGAGGCTGCCACAGCTGCTGGTCACGCTGCTCAAGTTATGGATACAAGTGATACAGGTGGGGCGACTCCTACATCTCAAGGTAGGAGCAAAAGGAAAAGGCCGACTGGCTCTCTAGTTGCAGATTCCTCCCACCAAGCAGATGAACCTATCAATACCAGACGGAGAAGACCCGAAGAGCCCACAGATCCTCGATTGCAAGATGTCATCTGTGAGATGGGTGGAGATTTAGTCAATGACAATCCATCCCCCTCCAGTGAGCCTCAACCCAGCAATGCTCGTGCTGCAGGTGTCCATTCTGCTGCTGCCCTCTTCCGTCGATCTTCGGATAGAACAGCTCGTAAACACACACGTCCGCCAATGTCCAAGCTGTTCATCTCCCTTCGGCTCAGCCCTGAGAACTTTCTCCAACTCCAAGCCTCTGCGAAAGCATACATGCTTGACTCGTCACACCCCGAAAGGCAAAGTTGCGTTGGCAATCGTGGCAAGGGAGACAACGATATGGTCAAACTGAGGCTCTTCAACTGTGTCCGCGACTTCTTGAGCAATGGAGTGGGTGAGCGGTTCTTTGGTGAGCATGTGGAAAAGCCAGAGGAAAACGATACCATAGAAGCTGCTCGTGCGCTGGGAGAGATGGAGACGCCTGAGGCAAGTCCACGACTCATCTGGCCAAGAGATGGTAACAAGATTGTTGGGCTTGTCACCCCCCTCATGAGACGCATGGTCACGAACGAGCGACAACGACAGTATGCAATTGAGACAAGGAAAGGGGGCTCTAAGCAAAAAGAGAAGGAAAGCAGTGTGAAGGCTATTACTCAGCAAGATGGGAATCGCGATGTACACCAACTCGAGCATCACTTGCAACCAGCATTCGATCCTGACCTGAGTCATGCTTGCCGGTATTCACAGGCAATTCTACCGTCATCACCAACATCCGTCGCCCTCGAGCAACGTTCATCACAGGACCAGATATGTCTTGCGGATTTGGAACAAAAGACACATGACCATGCAACAACAGCTTTAAGTTCAAAGGTACGTTGACCGCTGATTTTATTTCCCGTCGGCATTTTGAGTGCTGACGCAGGCCAGCTATCCAGGACGGGCACGGCCAATCCCAACCTGAGGCATATCAACATATTTCTTGTAGGGCCCTCGTCTGGCACCACGTCAGACACCAAAATCGGTGAGAGACGCATCACCGCCGAAGCGCAATCACACCTGGCCTGGTACGACTACAGCGACTTTATGAATGAGGTTGTCTCGCTATTGCAAACTGCTAAGGATAGTTATCCTGAACTGGAGTTGTGGATTGGGTCTCTCCAGGCACCAGACAACAACCTCCGCGGACTTGCTGCTGCTGCCAATGCTTTACAGACTGAGGGCGCCCCTCAAGGACCTATTGCAATTAGTAAATCGACCGGAATACCTCCAGCTGATGATGTGTCGGCTGCATTACCGCCCCCTGCCTCTGCAGCCGCTGTCCGTCCCACCATGGATAAATGCAACAAGACCGACAACAGGCTACTCTCCCGCTGTGTCATCAAATCCATCGGTCCCGAGGGGTGGCGCCATATTCGCAATGCTGACGACTGGTACAGTGTATTGAGAGAAAAGGCGTTTGCCGTCTGGGCGGATGGCATCTGTAATGTAGTTGTTGAATTGGTGGACCCGTCGGTCATGGATGCGTAAACTTTTGACATAGACAAAAGGTTTAGTAACGGATGCACGTGATAGTCGATGGGTGCTGCATCGCGTTGTGCCGCATGAGAAGGCGCTACGTAGATTTGTGTTGCGCAGAATGTCAAACAGCATTCACGAGGAATGAAAGAGTATCGCAACTACTACCTCTTTTTTTTTCTTGCCGTGCACCAAATCAAACTGATCTTTACCCACCATTTCTACTTTTTTTTTTCATCATTAAATCTTCGTCCCATTGCCCATTCCACACACACGCATATATATATATATACCAATATCCAAGCACGCTACTAATAAACAAAAAGGCGTCGGCGTCAAGCACAGGGGGGGGGAGGGGTGCGGCGTCTCGCCTCGCCTTGCCTCCACCAGCCCCAAGAAAATAAACCAATATACCATAACGGGTAAGGTTCCCCTTCTAGCTCCCTTTCCAACCCCCCCCCTCCCTTCCTTTGCGCCCACCCAACCCACCAAGGTAAGAAAAATAGCCAAGCCGTAGATTGTAGCGAACGTCGTTCGCCTGGCCCTGTGGGCCCCCCCCTTTCCTTTCTTGCGTGAACGCTTAAAGGGACTTTTTTTTCCTCCTTTCCCTTTTTCCGCTTTCCGACGGAGGGGGTGTTTTTTTTTGGGAGAGGAGGAGGGGGGGGAGCTATTATGGGTTAGTGTTGGTGGGGCTCAACAGCTTTCTGGGGATGAGGAGAGAGGGATGCGGCGGGGGGTTTTTTTTTGTGGATTGGTTTTGTGAGGGGAGGGGGTGTTTTTTTTCTTAACTATTTGAGGATGATGGATGGGGTGTTGTTGTTGTTGTTGTTGGAATGGGGGTAATTTCGTGGGGTTGTTTCCTGATCTGACACTCTTTTTTGCTTTTTTGAGGGGGAGCAGCTGAGAGGGGGATCGGATGGAAGTGGGTTTGGGGGGCAGGGGAGGGGAGGAAATGCATGTGATTGTGGAGATTGCGGGCTAGTATCAAGTAGTTGCTCTTTTTTTTACTTTGTGTTGCGGGTGTGAGTTTGGCTGTGTAGGCTTCTAGACTTGCTTGTGTAAATTGGTTGCAAGCGGCAGTGTAAATTGCATGTTGTGAGTTTTACTTTTATGCGGATATTGATTGGATTGCGGAGAGCAATTCTGGTGTAAGCAGATGTGTCACGCGGTATTGTGTGGGTACGTTACACAAATGGTCATCTGAGAGGCCGACGGTTGCGTTTCTCAAGGGAGTTTGGTTCGTTGTGAACTTAGTGCGTCGCCAGCTGCTACCCGTGTGTTGCAGTCGAGAGCTGCAGAAGTCAGACAGGGGCGCCAGATGCGGCGTTTCTGTGGGGGAATGCAAGTCATGCTTTGTTTGTATACTTGCATCTGAAACTGGTGCCGTTTGTGTCAGATCTCAGTGTGGCGGGTAAGTTCCCAAATGTGGTTTTAGCAGTCACTGCAGTGTAACGCTGTGAGAATATCTGAAAATTGGTTCCGGGGGAGATGGGGTGTAAAGGAACGGTACTTGCTTTTGTAAACATGTCGTTGATTGAATAGCAAAGTGGAATTGCGACTACAAATCTTTAATAGCATGTTATAGTGAGGAATACGCGCCTTGAATCGTTAGCATTTGCGCAGTATGTGATCCAAGATTTGAGGGTTTTCTTTGTCCAGTAGAGAAAATACTTTCTCCTCCTGCGATTCATACACGCACATGTATAGTACATCCCGACATGCGACCACACTGAATCGCACTTCTCAAAAACCTACGCTTTCGCTGCTCAACTTTCAAGGCATCTAGCGTCTCAAACTCACTCAAAGAACCCCCACCTACACCCGCCTAGTTACTGTATATATATAACGCCTCCAATTACAACCCACATTTCCAAACTCAATTGAAGAAACGCACCACCTTCTCCCCATTCTTTAGGTTCGGTACTGTGTTTCATTCGCCTCTTGTCGCAGCCGGATCTAATCAAGCGAGGCACTAATTGCTGGACCGCAACTATATTGTTTACGCAAACGCAAACAGGGTCGTTTGAGCTGGTGGGGGAAAAGAAAGTTGGGTTAGATAAGAACTAGAGGGTTTGGTAGGGTCAAGTAGAGTTTTTGGAAGGCTCGGACCAGGTGTCCGGTGTTGCATTTAGCGTGGAGTGTGGAGGTGATCAGGTGGGGTTGGAGGTTTGCTAAGTGAGAGTCTGGATGAGCTCTCTTTTGTTTTGTTTGCTGAAGTGGTATTGAAATAAGGTGTGTGATGGTGATGAGGAGGGTGTGGATTAGGCGGGAGAAAGATGGTTTGTCGAGGACTATGGTTAGTAGGCGTATGTTTTGTGCTGGTGGGTATGGTGAGGCATTGAAGGTATGTTTCTTTTTCATTATCGTAGACTCTTCCTTTTGAGCTTTCTTGGGAGGAATACATGTTGGCCGATTTTTTCTTCTGAGGGTTGGAGTGCTCAGACGATGAACGAGTACGAGGTTCAGGCTAGCGTGAAGACAGATGTTGATGGATATAAATTGTTCCTGTCACCCAGTCTGCCGGCTCTTGCTTGATTCCAACATCTTCCAAGGCTCGATTTTCTGTCTGGGAATTCATGGCCAATGCTGTAAGTGGAAAAGAGTCGGGGGCATGCCTCCGCTAGTGTAGGTCGGCAGCAGCTTTTTCTTTGTTGTGGTAAGGATAGCCTGGTGATCTACCTTTCTCCGCCTCTTGGCTCGGTGAGCCTCAAGTGTTTCAGTATCGCATTATGTTTGTCGCCCGCCCCGTTATTCTCAGACGAGCGTGACTGAGGCAGCGTCGGTCTTGGACATGTGAATTGACGTCGGATGTGGGTGGGTTTGAGGGGTTGCGTCATCATCACACTACATAATAGGAGTTGTCAAGACGCGCCGCATACATGCATACGCAGGTTCAAATAGTAATGAGTTGTTGAGTCAAAGGAGTTGGAGGCAGCAGCTCGGTTGTCAAGCTTGCGACAGTTTAGCCGTGCCAGGCGATGGTGTAGGTAGGTAGTATGGGTGCGCCGGGTTAAGCGCGACATGTGGATGGATGGATGGATGGTGAAGAGGTGCATAACGCTCACCGGTTGCGATAGCCGTTCCGTTGGGTTTCAGCATTGGCATTGGCATTGGCGTGACTCTCTCTCTGCCTGACCCGGGGCCCAAGTGCAACTGGGCCCACCGATACGGCCGTGCGTCCACGTTACTGACCACGTGGGCATGCAGGGCATGCCATCCCATCTCGTTCAGTCCCATGTGCATGCAAGGGCGCTTGGACAGGTTCAACGGCGCTTTCGCGTTGAGACTCTTGACACAATACTGACGATCAGCGCTCGACGATGCCCTCTGCTCGAGTAAGCTGACTGCACGCAGTCCATCTGGGAAGCCGATCGGACAATCTTTCACTCATTTGGCACACACGGGATCGAACAATAACAAGAGATGAACAAAGAGGCATTGGGCAGGAGCTAAGACCGCAAAAAGGTGGGTTGGTGATATCAGCGCAGATGCAAAGCAAACGGCGAATCTTCCCGCGGCATCACTCGGAGGCGCACAGATGACATGTCCAGGGTCTTGACGAACCCAGAGCGACTCATTACGACATGACGTTGGTTGATAGCTGCTATTCTGCCGATGACCAAGGGCATGGGCGAGCTGAATAGCTGGGTGCTAGGGACTAGCTGCAGTGTCTTAAAAGGGGGGGGTCTAGGTGCACTTGGAGATGGCTAAAGAAAAAAGAAAAGAAAACACCCCGCCTCGACTGACTGGTGGGAATGCTAATGGATTGATTGAGTCGTCGAGACCGGGGCTGGCCAGCCCGTCGAGATAGGAGGTTCTGTAACATACCCTACTCGTGGAGCAACCAAGGGGTCATGGTGTGTGGTTACAAGAGGGCCTTTTGCGATGCGGGCCGTTGATGGGGCACAACCACTCAGACGCGCCCTCGCACACGCGTACCGGTGGATTTCTCCCATCCCCCAGGGCACCAACGCCGGTAGCGGCGGCCAAAGTGGGTTCCCGCACAAGGAAAAAAACGTGGCTGAGGCGCTGTAAAGGCTGTAAGTGGGCTGTAGCCTGTCATGGCCATTTGGGTAGCCATGACGCCCGCCCTCGTATACTAGATACGAGTGACCGGCATTCACGCAAGACCCATGGAAGAGGCGTGATATGAGCTGGTTGGACACGAGTCTGTATGCACACATGGATAGAGTTCGTATGACAGCCATCAAGAGATTGTTGGGTGCATGCATTACAATGCAGTCTTGGAGAGATTGTCTCGATGCATTACTCCTGTTGTCATGTCACTGTGCGTGCCATGCTCCCTCCCCCCCTCTCCCCACATACTTGGGACATCAACACCACAACACCAAGACAAGGCTCGCGTTTGCTCTCCAATGCTGCCAAGCGTGCATTGTATCTGGGTGTACTGTATACTTACACACATAGACATGGTGTGCACAGCAGCACCTGATGGCGCCGGCGTAACCTCTGGAACCTTTGGCTAGCATGGCCCCCCTGCCGGTAGATCTTGTCTACTCGGGCCACTCCCTTGCCTGTCTGGGTCCTTTGAAACAAGCGAGGCGCGACGCTGGGCCAGCACAGGGCCGGCTTTGTCGACGTTCCATCTGTCGTCGCCTTTTGCTGTTCACCAGGTAGCCGTCTACTCTCGAATCCATCACCCGCTCCGGTCTTTGCCGTCACCGCCGCGTCTCACACCTGCCGTGGTATTAGTAGGACGTCTGTCCCCCCAAACCACTTGTGTCACCACTACTGTCACTGCTACCATCTCTACTACTATATACCACCAAGCCACTCCCCACCGCCCTCGACTGCCAACTTTTCAGCCCGCACTATGCCCAACTCCCTTGAGTCTTCACGGCCCATACTTGCCAACGTAAGCCATTTTCCCGTCCCTACGTACCCACTGCTCGTTTCAGACATGCCCTAGTCATGGCCGGTGCGTGCCTATGGAGCACCTGCACTCTTGGGCCCATCATACTACTTCTCTCATCCCCTCTGCACTTTTCTTG